CGCTTCGTGGCGGATAAAGGCAGGGGGGAGAGAGAGAGAGAGAGAGAGAGAGAGAGAGAGAGAGAGAGAGAGAGAGAGAGAGAGAGTCAACAAATGCAGGCAATCGCATGCACGCATTAGCAGGCTGCGGCTCCGCCCTGCGAGATAAATGTCCCGAGGAACACTTAATCCATTCCGCCGGCATCGCGGGCTCAATGAACTGGATGGGCTGGGCCAGGCTGGAGAACAGACAGACACACAGACCGACAGACAGATAGACACACAGACAGACAGACAGACAGACAGACAGACAGACACATACAGACACTCCGGCGCCCGCACCAAAAGGGGTCGCCGTTTTCAGTGTCACGGCGCGTGACGGCCTCCTCGTGTGGCGGCGTGACAACCGTGTCACGGGCTGTCACGGGACGGGGCCCTGATTAGACATGCAGAGCCAGATCAAGTGTCGCTGCCTCCAGCCTCGCTCCAGCGCGGCTCCAGCGCGGCTCCTCCCCCGCGAGGCGCCCGCCTTATTTGGCAACGCGTGCCGCCACGTCTGTGTGTGTGCGCGTGTGTTTGTGCGAGCGCGATTCGTGAGCACCCATACGCGGCTTGAAACAGACGGGCATTTCGTGGTTGTATTTGTCGGAGGCCCACCCATCTCCCACTGCCAGGCATATGCCAAAAAACGCCTCAAACTAGAGATCGATCTGAATATTGAAAATAAAAGAATCAGGAAACTGAAAGAGGGGGGAGGGGGGGGGGGAGTCGAACCCGGCGTCTTTGGAAAGTGACGCGTTTCCAGAGAAGTTAGCGAAGTTAGCACGCCCGATTCCCCGAGTGGGTGTAATACGATTCGTGTCTTGCTCCCCGCCAGCCGCCGCAGCCCCGTGCGGGGCCTCACCACGCCCGAAAAGGCTGCCGCCGCGACGCCGCGAAGCCGCGACCTGGCCACTGCAACAGCTTTCTAGCAGGGCCGCGCCAGGCCGAGCAGGGCGCCCCTTTTTAAAGCGCCGACGCCGCGCTCGCCCTTTCGCGCAGGACGAGTGATGGTCACACGCAACCGCGGCGTCAAAAAAGCCAGCAGAATGTTCGTGCTTTTCCATTATGTTACGTCCGTCTTTTTCGGCTTCCTGTTCTAAGCGCCGCGGCGACGGTGACGTGCCGACAAGGCGGCCCCACGTCAGTACCCGCCGCCATCTCGGGAGGCAAAAGCAGGACCTGCAGCCCCCGGCAGCCCCTACACTCTACACAGGGCCTCTTTCCCGAAACAGCGGCCCGCACACAGGGCGCCACGCGGCCCTTCAAGCGCCGCAGCGCCACTGCCTGCCGCCGCATTAAATGGACTGCACTTTTTGAAGGGGCAGCCCGCCGCCGCGGCGGCCAGCCAGCCCGGCTCACCGCAATTATTTCCAGTTTTCAGCCAACAGAAGGCAAAAGGCCCCCGACGGCCCGGCCTGACCGCGGGTGGGACCCACCACCGACCCACCGCCGCGACGGGCACGGCGTGCACGTTTGACGCGGGCAATTAAAAAGAGAGCGCTATTTCGACGCGCCGCCAATGTGCCTCCGGCGTGGCGGTTTCACTCAAACAATTGCCGCGCGCGCTGCATTCGCCGACCGCAGCAAAGCGACATCGCCGTCGGACGACCCACCGGGGAATTCGGTGCGTGCGGCCAAAGCGGCGCAAAAGTTGCCCCCCTCCCCCTTTCATACTTTTCCACACGCGCCGAAGTTCCCGCGCGTCGGGGCGACGACGCGTGTGTGCGCAGGCTTTTACGCAGGCTGGTACGCAGACACGCGCCCACTGCAGAGACTGCAGTAGCCGCACGCGGAGCACGCGTACTTAGCCGCCGTGACCCAGATAGGCAAATGGCCCGCCAGGTGTGAAAGCTCCCCGACCTGTCGAGGCCGGCAGGCCGGCGAGGCTTCACCCCGCGCTGCCAGCGCCGCCGCGGCGCAAAGCACGGCGTAAGCACGGCAGCACCCCGCGCACGGCGGGCCGCGCAAGCCCGCCCAAATTACAGTTATCTCTGAAATCTAATCCTTGCCGACGACGACGCCGTCCTTGCCGACAAACGACGGCAATTAGGGAGGCGAGTTAGATGGGCGGGGCGGGGCGGGGCGGGGCGGGGCGTGGCGGCGTGCTGACGGCCGTAAAGCACGCGGTGCGACACGCCAGCGGCCGTCTTGCCGCGGACTGTACCATGACTGTACACGGACGAGTCGTCTTGCCGTCGACTGTGCCACAAGGGACGGGCGCGGACTGTATACACGGACGTGTGCTGCCCTGCATGTAAGGATTCGTTCGTCGCGCTCCGCGCGGCCGGGACCCGTCTTGCCGCGGACTGTACCGCGTCGGAGCGCCCTGCCAAATCCCAGGCCGGGACAGCGAATGGCAGACATTAGCCAAATTACACGGCACGTGGAGCAGTGTCCTCAAAACAAACCGAGGCACGGACGTCCGACCCGAGTCACCTCACACACACACGCACACAAAAAAAAAACAGACACACACACACACGCACACACTCAGGACGAGCTTGAAGCGCGGGCCCACGCACAGGGAGACCCATTTTAATTGAATAGAATTAATCCCCCCGGACCACCTTTCAAGTTTCCGGATTCTCCACGCCTACCTCCTCGGCCTACCTGGATTAAGGTCCAAGCGGGCGCGCACGGCGAACCAGAACTAGTCGCTGGAGGCGAGTCTTACCTGCAACAGGGGAGAGAAAAAAGAAACGAGTTAGATTCTTTGCCCCCAATCACAGCGCCAGCGCGCGGCACCGTTCGGGTCGGGACGTTCGGGAAGCCAACAGTCGGCCGGGACGTAGTATCCAATTTCTGTCGGACGCCCAGTGCTTTCGTCGCTCCGCCCGGCACCGCCCCTCTCGCACTCGCGCGACGGGGCACAGTGGGCCAGAAGCCGGTGGAGGCGGCCAAAACTCTAGACGCGTTTTGAGCTCCAGAGTCGCTAAATGGAACTCGAACCGAACGTGTGACCCCACCAATGGATTCCTCGTTCGAAGAGCAATCCATTGGTGGGGTCACACGTTCGGTTCGAGTCCCATTTAGCGACTCTGGAGCTCAAAACGCGTCTAGAGTTTTGGCCGCCTCCACCGGCTTCTGGCCCACTGTGCGGGGCGTCCCGCGGCAAGGGTGCGAGAGGGACGGAGCGACGAAGCGCGGTTCGGAAGCGTGCCGGGCCGCCGCTAATGCCGTCGCGGGACGCGGCGCGACGCGGCCACGTGGCGATGGACGCCAGATACCGCGGTCGCCATGCATTATTATGCGATGAGCGATGAATGCTATCGGGCCATCTCGGCCATCGCGGCCAACGAGCAACGCGGAGCAGCGCCGAGCAACGCCCAAAAGTCGAGTCGGCGCGCAGAACTCCGCCGCGAGCCGCGCCCACGCACGCTAGACCATCCCGTCCCGCGGCCGTCCCCGTCGCGGACCTTGTTTTCCTCCTTTTCTTTTGTCTTGCCGTTTGTTTGGGTGCCTCGACCCCGGCCCGGCGGTCCCCCGCGGCACGTGCCACGGCGATGCGGCATTAAATGGGAAAACGAGAAAAACAACAGAGTGCCCGGCACGCTTTCTAGAGGCGTTTGGCGTGCGCGTTGAGGTCTCCGACAGTCCGACTGGTCTGGGACTGGTCTCCGCGAACCCCAACCAACACAACGAGGCTGCCATTTGAAAAGGCGAGGCGGCGGGGGCCGCAAAGCACGCCTGCCACCCACGATTCATGGCCGGGCGGCGCCGCGACGACACCGTCCGAGCCCTCCCTTTTCGCAGGGACTGGGAATGGGCCGCTGCGCCGCCCCGCCGCTTTGCCGCTCCGCGCATCCAGCCTCGGACATATATCATTTGCGGGACTAATTTACTCGGCTGGAATATGCATGGCGCGCTGCGCGCTGCGTGACTTGCAGACCGCCTTGCCCGCGACCGCAGCGCACCGCACCGCACCGCGCCGCGGCACGCCAAAGGGTCGCCTGGACTACGCGACGCCGCGACGCCGCGACGCGCAGAGGCGGCGGAGCCTTCCCTTCCCTCGCTTCCCTCCACGCGGTTAATTAAAAGCAAGCCTGGTCGCCGCGTCCCGTCCCGCCCCGCCCCGTCCTCGACGCGCCGCGGCAGCCCCGGCTCGAGGGAAAGCAGCTCCGAGATCAAGGAAACGCACAAGTTGGGGGCCGGGGGGGACTATTTAATAATCAGATCGAATTTGTGCGATTTTCTTTTCAAAATTCACAAAGAAAATTCAGAATTGATAAAAGTAACATCCCAATTTTGGTTTTAAGTAAGATGATAAAAATTCAGCGTTGTTCGCACCACGCCTTCCAGGCGGGGAGCAAGAGAGCCCTCTATCCCTGATTACTTATTTTAGAGTCTTGGTTAGAAGGACTCTAGATACCCGAGGAGCCTGATCATGAGAGGGGAGCTTGAGCCAAATCAGGAGGACAGCGCTCCAAGCGGTCACCTGGCGAAGCTGGGCCGAGCGGGTACCGTCCGCGCGCGCACTGAATGCACGGGGTATCGCCGCGGAGCCCGCTCCGCTCAGAGTCCTCTCTACGCCCACCCACCCGGCCCGATGAGACAGACTCACGATGCTGAGGCTTTGGCCAGGAGTAGGTTCGTCTCATAAATGCAACTAGAGACCTTGACACATGCATCATTATTTTAGACCACAGGTTGGGGTTGTCCAGGGGTCAGGAAAGCAAACAATAATTGACACACTTAAAGTGTCGCCGTTCCGTAGGATTGTTGCCAATCATTTATTGTTTGTGGGGGGGGGATGCTTGTATTCGCCAACGGGGGATGAACGGGATCGGGATTCAGTGCCCCCTAAGCGGCCCACCCCTGGTCATGCGATACATAAGGCTTGGACCAGGAGGGCTGTTTTCTTTCACTGCCAGAAAATTCTCATGACAGCTCAACTTCTTGCTCTTTCCAGTTTTTTTTCTTTTTTCTGGTTTGTCAATTAACCCCTGACGATATATGGTATTGATATGAAAGAAGATTACCTTGTAAGCTGTCCAGCATGTAGGTAAGCAGTTTGTGTGTTCCATTTGTCTCTCCATACAGCGACAAAATCTCCTTGCTGAGTGGATTTCCTTGAAGTCCCAAAACATGCAGTTGAAAGAGTTTTCCCAGCTCATAAGGGAGAACTCTTAGATGGTTGTGGCTTAATAGCAGCTCCCTGATAAATAAAAAAAGATACACGATAAAATTTAACAAGTTACACATGTTCAAACCTTCTTGTTATTGTGAGTGCGTTTAGAGAACCTCAAACACATGTGCTATAAATGAAAGTTAACTTCTAAGAAAAGTTTTATTGGGTCAAGAGTTTTGAGGCAGATTCTATGCAGTTATGTGCTTAATTGGATTTACGGATCCCTACCCTGCATAAGATACTTGAATCAAAATGGGGGCAGGTTCAACAGGATGGGGTACTGACTTACCTAGGGTATTTGGGATATCAGGATTGGGCATTCATTTGAAGGGCATTCATAGGAGGTAAGAAGAACCTTATTCCTCTTTCTGGAGGGATGCAAGTTTTAAAAATATAACATGGGAAGTGGGGATACAAAATGGTTGTTGGTTGCTTTAAAGTGGACTGGATACTCAGACTGTCTTTAAGTCTCGAGCACAGAAATCTGATATTTTCAAATTAAGATATTAGTAAGAAAAGAAAAGGTAGCTCACCTCAGATGAATGAGTTCTCCAAGCTCTGCTGGTAAACTGCGCAGCTTGTTCTTAGACAGGTCTAAGCTACGCAAGTTGGTAAGCATGGCAACATCAGGTGGTATGCGGCACAGGCAGTTGTCATTCAGGTACAAGCTTGTTAAATGAGTGAGCTGCCACAAACATGGGCTCACATTCCTGATGGACCCTGGAAGTACACAATAATATTTTAGTATCTTTCAAAAGTAAAGATTTTTTTATTACAAAGTAAAGCTACAAAACAGAAGGAAAAAGTCGAAAATGATGGACAGAGACTACTACATTTGACACGATGTGCACAAACTGTAGGTGCCAGAAAAATTGACGTAGGAAGTTTCTCTAGCAATAGGTCCTTTAAGTAATTTTAATTACCTGTTATCTCCAATTCTGCCCAGTAAGATTTTCTCCCTGATGCAGCATCTTCAGCTGACATAATGGTATGGGTGCGACGGGGATTGACATTGTCATACTTGTCTTTAAGATTACGGGACATGCTGTTTCCTAAAGCAAAACAAAACAAAACACAGGTGAAGTAATTTGTTTCACTAATTATAGCTCTCTTCTCTAAAAAAAAACATAAAGGATTGTTAAATAAAATGCAGGTAATACTGTTAAAGGAGATTACAATAAGACACAAATCAACCACTGGGTAAATCTTGGTACAGTATTTCTAAATCATAATCCAGGTCGTATTTAAAACTCAAAATGCCCCGTCCTCACCTCTGAAAATAATTTTAAAAGCCAAAACGATTGTTCTAACTAAATCCTACTTTAAAATACAAGGATGAAACAAACATTAGAAGAGTAACGTGTGAAAGGATCAATGCACACAAGTGGAAACAGGATGTGGGGTGGTATATTAGTCGTTTTGGTGGCACACAACACAACTAATACTGTACCATTTTCAATAATAGAGTAGCGATTCACTTCCATCGTCCACATATACACTGCAAAACAACATGCAGTTCAATTAAAAGGACATTTGAATACATCTACTCTATACAACAACTGATGCGATTGTTTGACATTCTAAAGATATGTTAAAACAGTTGGCAAATGTTCCTCAGCAATAAAGACTATGGACAGCCTACTTAAATTTAGTGGCTGAAAGACAAACAATAATATTAATTTAAACTGCTTCGGTCCAGGTTGATGGGTATCACCCAAATCAGATGCTAATGATCAGCTGATTGGAAGTACTGACTGCGTATAACAAAGTGATAGAGGATGCTCCTCAGATTTGAAACCACCAGACGAGTTTTATCAAGGAATTTTGTAGCGTTCATAAAAAGTCGTGCCCTCGGTTTGAGTTAACAATGCAGTCTATAACTCAACAAAGGAGCAAAAGACTTAAAGAAAGTTGGTGTAGGCCTATAACCCCAATGCTCATGATAATAACCGGCAAAATATTTCGGAGTAGGTGAAGCTAGTACCGTTCGCATCAAAGATTTTTAGAATAAAATTGTCACTTCTCGGAACTTGATATAGACATCTTAATGGAACGTTTCAAGAATTTTACAGTTAACAGAAAACAAGCTGTCGGGGTGAACGGTCTACGTGGATGGGCTGTTGCGGTCAAATAATTTGCGAAAAGGGCATCATTTGAGGCCAATTATCAAAGTAATTGAAGTCGAAACAGAATGAGCATATTTAACCTACCCTCATCTACTTCCAAACGTTACAATTTAACAGAAATGTCCGGAGTAAACAAAGCGAGAGCACACACATAAACACTTTTCCTTAGGCCAGTGATGCCAAGTTGCCAGGAACACCAACACAGCGGTGTAAATTCCGGTTCACCTAATTGCAAAATAAGTTTTCTGATGAGAAAAGAGACTTTCAGAGCCTTTCGTGCAATTGAAATTAAAGGGAAATCGTACCTGCAACAAATTGTTATTTCCCACATTCAACAAACGAAAACTGCGTCGCTTTCGAGGTGGCTGAGGTGCGTCCAGCTAGGGAGGACTTTCATTTATTTTCGTCGTCCTTCTTTTTTAACTCTGGGCGTTTTCAAATAAGAGTGATATTTGGAAAATAAAAATGGTGATTCCAGTTAAAATTGAACTTTTGACGTTTTGATTTCATTTCTAAGCTTCTTTTGGTCTTTACAAACTTTTTGACGCCTTGTAGAAATACATACGATATGTTTGTTCTTTGACTCCTAATTGAATAGGGCTTGAGCTTGAGAGAGAATCTGCTTGTAATACTTGTGTCACACATCTAAAGACTGATCGTTGGCGGTTTTAGGTACTTTTTCTGCTGAAACAAGAAAGCAAACAGCGCCACAATGCCCGACTATCTTGGAAGTGATATGCGAAAGACCAAAGATGAGGAAAAGGAAGAAAAGGAAATCAAATGTAAGTCATCGTCTGTTCCTGGTAGACGTTCATTGAAACTACAGTTAAACGATTTACTTGCACTCACGTATTATTTTAGTTGAATTTTCGTTCAAGTAGCTAAGCAATTTCATAGGGCTCATGTCGGTTTGAAAAAAGCAGTTCCATAAAGTGTTTTTTACACCTATTGGGTTCGTTTTGACAAGTATCCTAACCTTACTTAAATGGTAATTGTCAAGTCAGATCTGTTATATTTCAATCTTAAACAATTTCTACAAATTTAATGACTTTAAATAAAGCATTGAACACACCGTAACATATGCAGTGTCAGTGTGGATGTTCATCATCAGGAGAAGTTCTTTTCTTATATCTTACCTGTTTTGTCTCTTTGTTGACAGCTTTGGATGAAGCTGATATTGCCCTACTCAAAAGCTATGTAAGTATTAAAAATATTGCGAGAATTGCGCCTTTAATCTATGAGCATATCTCATGTTTACCTCTTGTGCTGTAGGGACAAGGTCAGTACACGAAGAGTATCAAGGGAGTGGATGACGATATCCAGACAATCATCAAGAGGGTCAATGAGCTGACAGGCATCAAGGAATCAGACACTGGCCTTGCCCATCCAGCTCTATGGGATCTTGCTGCTGACAAACAAACCCTTCAGAACGAGCAGCCTCTGCAGGTGACTTGGACTATGAAATCATAGTATCACTATTTTGAACTTCTGTGAAATGTTTCACTAATTTAATGACATCACTGCAATTTTTCAGGTTGCTAGGTGCACTAAAATTATCAATGCAGATTCTGATGACCCAAAGTATATCATAAATGTAAAGCAGTTTGCCAAGTTTGTTGTTGACCTAGCAGACTCCGTAGCTCCCACTGACATTGAAGAAGGCATGAGAGTTGGGTAAGGTTACATTTCATTCTGCATTTTTAGGTCAAAAGACCATTTTTACCCCTTGTTAAATAAAATGTTTTCTTCTGTTTGTAGAGTGGACCGCAACAAATACCAAATTCACATCCCTTTACCTCCTAAAATTGACCCTACAGTCACCATGATGCAAGTAGAAGAGAAACCTGATGTCACTTACAGTGATGTCGGTGGTTGCAAAGAGCAGATTGAAAAGCTCCGTGAAGTTGTGGAAACACCTCTTCTTCAACCTGAAAAGTTTGTTAACCTTGGTATTGAACCACCAAAAGGAGTACTTTTATTCGGGCCCCCTGGTACTGGTAAAACTCTGTGTGCCAGAGCTGTTGCTAATCGAACTGATGCTTGCTTCATTCGTGTCATTGGTTCTGAATTGGTTCAAAAATATGTTGGTGAGGTGAGTTAAACCTTCTGCCCTAACTATTCATCACCCTGATTGATTATAGTCATGTTCTGTGGTTGGATCATTATCAGGTGTCTCTAATATTTATGACTTCTTACAGGGTGCTCGAATGGTCAGAGAACTTTTTGAAATGGCTCGCAGTAAGAAGGCGTGCCTTATTTTCTTTGATGAAATTGACGCCATCGGAGGTGCCAGGTTCGATGATGGTGCAGGTGGCGACAATGAGGTACAGAGGACCATGTTGGAGTTGATCAATCAGTTAGATGGTTTTGATCCTCGTGGTAACATCAAGGTAGATTATTTTAAAATTTTTGTTGTGAAATGAAGAAAGGACAGACACAACTTGAGTTTTCTTTTACCCTTTATTTTAATTTCTTTTTGGTTGTTTCGTAGGTGCTGATGGCCACGAACCGTCCCGACACTTTGGACCCAGCCCTTATGCGTCCTGGTCGTTTGGATCGTAAAGTTGAGTTTGGCCTCCCTGATTTAGATGGGCGAACCCACATTTTCAAAATCCATGCTCGTTCCATGAGTGTTGAGAGGGACATCAGGTTTGAGCTTCTGGCACGTCTTTGCCCCAACAGCACAGGTGAATGAAAAACATTATTTCAGTACATGGAGATTTGAAGTTTCTTTTTGTTGACTTTTGCTGAATCCTTTTTTTTTTTTTTTTTGTTTCAAAATTCCAGGTGCTGAAATTAGGTCAGTCTGCACTGAAGCAGGGATGTTTGCAATTCGTGCTAGGAGAAAAGTAGCCACTGAAAAAGATTTCTTGGAAGCAGTGAACAAGGTTATCAAGTCTTATGCCAAGTTCTCTGCCACTCCTCGCTACATGACTTATAACTAAACTTTTTAATATGTGCAGTGGGATGATTCAAATTATGTGTGAGAAAAGAAAGTTGTGTAATAATTTAATAAATAGGTTTGTTTCTGTATGGTTCTTGTTTTAAATTTTCTTGTAGCCCTTGCCTTCACAAAAAGAATAATATTATTCTGCATTATGCAATTATGTTAAATTAAATGCGTAAAAGTATCATCTGCAAAAAAAAAAGAAAAAGAAAAAAGAATACACCAAGAAAGTTTTAGTTTCCAGTCTGGCAATCACACATGGTGGATAAATTTAACTTAATTTTTTTAAACACAGAACATGATGTTTTACATGGTTCAGTCTTATAAAATCACTGTTCACACTTAGGCAAACACATGTTGAAACTTTTTTTTCCTTCCTTGCGAAGTGCTAGTGGGATTGTTTACCAACAAATCGCCTGCTAAAAATAAGACGTTGGGTTCACCCTCGGTGCTGCGGCGGTGGCCGTGGCCGGCGATAGGGCCTAGTGGGCCTGCTGCTGCTGCTACTGCTGCCGCCGGTTGGGCACGGCAGGGCGGAGCGGGGCGGGCGGGGCAGGCCCAGTCCGTCCACACTGCCACACTGCTGCGGCGGCTCGCGGCACACCACGGCACACGCGAACCTGCAGCCGCCGCTCTCGCACTCCGCGCAGCGCGACGCACCGCGTTCGCCTTCGCCACGGGCCGCTCGAGGACGCCGACGGCACGGCCAGGACGAGCAGGACGACATCCTGGACCTCTAGACTCGGGACCACTCTGGACAGCCCGCCTGGTCCTGACGGAGGTGCCGCTCGAGCTGGGCGTCGTCCCCGCGCACGGCGCTGCCCGCGTGCCGCACAAGCACCCCACCGTGCTCTACAACCACCACCCGGGAAGCGCACCTCTGCCACGCCGTCAAGGTGAGTCCTATCGTTTAAGAGGGGCTCAAGGCGTCCACCAAGGGACGGCTGGGAGGGCGCGCATTTTCAGTGCTCAGATTCCCGCCAACTGAAGCCGGCTGTCTAGGCTGCGCAATGCGCATGCTCGCCGGGGAAGGCCTCTTCTTTTCGTGTTCGTTTTGGTGGGCAGCCCAGCCGGCCGGGTGTTTGCCGTCTTGTTTATTGTTGTTTGCACCCCGAGTCCAGAGGCCTTTGGCCGGCTGGTGGCGGTCAGGGGCGCGGTAGCAGGGTCATGGGGGTGATGGGAAAGGGAAGACTCGCCGCGAAGTCAAGACAGTCTGGACTGCAGCCCGCTGCAACCACAGTGTCCTTTGGCGGAAGTGCGTGGCGAGCGATCGCTAGCGATGCACCAGTGGACGCGCACGGCGCGGTCGTGACTCGCTATCTGTCCTGTCTCGCACTTGAGTGAGGCCCGCCCGCCGCGGCCACTGTCCGAGATAGCACTGCTACGAGCAGGCCCTGCCCTGCCGGCGCCCTCCTTGGCCAAGTTCAGAGCGTGCCGACAGTGTAGTGCACGGGTTGACTAGGATTAGCTCGTATCTGGCGTATAGCCTCCCGTCGGGCAGGACCTAGCTTTGACGACTAGAGTAGAGGCGTCCTCACAGCGGCGGAAAATTAGATACCCGTTTTTCTAAGTAGGTCGCCTGTAATGGTTTATTTCTCTTTTGTCTCGTTGGCGGCTGGAGCGGGTTGGCGGCACCGAGACCGGGGCACCGAGACCGGGGACCGCAGCGTTTCGCCGTGCTTACCCACTTACCCCGCCTCGCGGTTGATTGCCCTACCCAAATTGCCCGGGGAGCCAGTAAACTCGGGCGGAGTGCCCGTACGGCCCGTACCCGGGGGAAGTCCTTCGGGCCAGCCCAGCCAGCCCAGCCAGCACGACGCCGTCGCCACACAGTCGGCTCATTCTGATCACTGTTTTCTCGCGCTGTCTCTCTCGCACCCCTACGGCAGGCCCCATAAGTGCAAGAGAGACAAAACAACGATGCCACTGTTGTTCGGCCCCCAGGGGACAGTTGGACGCTGGACGGCATGGAGCGCGGGGTATGGACGACGGCACATGCAAACAGGCAATCTGTTGGGACTCTGCGCGTGAGTGTGTGTGTGCTTTGAGGGCGTGGCGCCGTGCTGCTGCCCGGGCAACGAGGCGATACTCCGCAAACACGCCGACGCAACAAAGGGAGCATCCCTTTCGAGCGGCACTCGGCACGGCACGCAACGCGGCACGCACACTGTGCGGCACGGCGCGACACGGCTCGCAGCGGATCGCGGCCGCCGCTCCGATCTCGCCTGGATAAACAGCCGGCATGGACCGCGCTGGTCCGCGTTGCGCACACGGCACTGCTAGCGCTACCGGGGGAAAGGCTGCAGAAACTAGCGTTTCGGTTGGCCGGCGGGACATCCTACACATCCTGCACGGTGCACACAGGCGTGGATCCAGGCTTCACCCAACTGCCTACCGTCGGGCGGCCTGTCCCCAATCTGGGGATCGATCACCACATGTCCACTCCGACTACTTTGCCGACCTCAAAATAAGTTGGTAAATAAGGCGGGATTTCACTATTCACCCGCAGAGCTGCAGCTAGCTGGCCGCAAACACGCGAACTCGGGTCAACAGGGGGAAACCCGTAAGCGTGCGCCCTGATAGGCGTCCTCGGCGTCACGGCGATGGCCGGGCCATGCCGGGCAGGATAAGCAGGGCGAGACTAGGCGAGCCGAGACGAGACGGGATGAGATAGTGGCGCTGGGAGCCGCGCGCCCACACTCGCACCTGCGAGTCGCTGGCCGCTCTGCCTTGCTGCCGTGCCGTCGTCAAGCGTCTGGTTAAACGCGCGTTTAGCCGGGCCGCGCCGCGCCGCCCCTTTAGCACGATGCGTGCGGCAGTGCAGTGCAGTGCACGACGCTCCAGCACACTGCTCCAGTGTTCCAGTGCTCCAGCAGCAAACTTTCTCTCTCACTCACCGCCAGCGCGGCGGGCACAGCGAGGCTGCGGTTCAAGTCGGAGGAAAAATGTAAAATCGAATCAACAGAAACCCTTCGAGTTCAACATTGCAAACCTCCCGGCGTCTGTTAAAACATTTCTGATGAACTTTCTTTAAAATTTGTAGATGTTTGTGAGTTTTTAACAGTGAAATCAAAGCGATTAACCTTGGCTGAATCGTCCAGCGCGCGGGTTCAAGTTGTCCGCGGTCCGTCAGCCCCGTCCCTATGCCGGCCTGGACAACGAGGGTCAATCTAGACCAATGAGGCAGACCGTTGTGGTGCGTAGGGCTGGCGGGGCTGGCGGGGCTGGCGGTCGGGTCGGAGTCCCCGCGGTCCCCGCCCCGCCCCGTGTTGGACGCGATGACGCCCACGCCGCGGCCGGGACGGCCAGGACGGCCAGGACGGGCAACGCGGCGGCGAATGCGAGGGGGGAGCCGCGGCTGGCGGCGGGCCAAACACTTTCGGGGGCCACCGGCCACCGCCACCAGGACCACGCGGCCACGCAGTCTAGCGGTTGAAAAGTGAAAAGAGTCCGACGGAGTCGCAGACACTCACTGACCCCGCGCTCTCCCCCCACCCCCTCTCCGCGCGCGACCCCAGGAACCTCGGGAACCTCAGGTATAGCGATAGCATCAAGGCGATAACGCGACCCCGCGGACGGCCGCCTATCTCTGCCCCGCTCCCCGCCCCCTTTCCCGGCTGCAGTCAAACACGGGAATGATACGCCAGGATGCCAGTGCATTAGTCACGGGGAGCAAGTTGGCTGGGTCCGCGCGAGCGAGTGCGTTCACCTGTGGGTGGGCACGGGGACTGTCACGGCCGACACCGCCACTGATTTGGTTGCGACCACCGAGGGCGGCAGAGCGGGTGAAGCGACCACGCGGTGATAAGCGACTTCGAGTGGAAGTGACACACATTTGGAGTCCGATCTTTGGCATCGAAGCAGTGCCCAGAAAACAGCAATGCGCTTTGCCTTCGTTCTGGCGGACTTTAACGCAAAGTGGCTGCTTCACCCCGCAGACGCCGACGTAGAAAGTACGGCGACTGTCTTCGGCTCGACACGACACGCTGCTTTTCTGCCACGCCCGTTTCTGTCGCGCTGCTGAATGGCGCGGGGTATCGCCGCCAATCCGCGTGCACCCGCCCCGCCCCGCACGCGCCGTTGACGTAATTCGCGCGTGCCGCGTGCGTGCTCGCGAAAGTGCCCCAGACGGACACGCCAAGCCGTGCCGAGCCGTGCCGCGCCGTGCCGTGCCGCGCCCGTGCCGCCATACCCCACGCGACAGTGCTGGACAGTCCGGCCGCTTCGGGCCGCCTCATGGAGGCCGTCGGCTGGAACGGCTGGAACGCGCTGGAACGGCTCCACGCTGGATCATCCAGTGCGCGGGGCAGTGCCGAGCCGCGCGGCCGCAGACCGTCCTTGTCCAGGCGCCATAGTGCTACTGCTACAGCCAACCCGAAAAAAAAACGACAAAAAACTCGAAAAAAGCGCGGCGATCATTGTTTGCCTCCGCTCAGGTGGTGCCTGCACTGCATGGTGCCTGCGGTTACGAGTCTCTGCGCTCTGCGCCCACCTGTGTACATAGCAGGCTGGAAGTGCTCTAGCGCAGCGGGGCCTGTACTAGGTTCAGTTGCGTTCGCCGAGAAAACCATATCCAATCGCAACAAAAACCGCAAAAAAAAAAAATGAAGCTGGTGATGTTCTTTGTCCTTTTTTGTTCTGTTTGTGACTTTTCTGAATTTTTCGAATTTCGAATTTTGTGAATGTTGCAGATGGTGAGCGTGAGCGCGGCCATGCCGCTGTACGTGATGCTGAGCCTGACGGCGGCCCTGTTCATGGTGCAGCTCGCCCTCAGCCACGTGACGCACGCCCTCACGCTGCTCGTCGACTCGTACCACATGCTGTGCAACCTCATCGCCCTCTCGGGCTGCATCATCACCATCAAGGCGAGTACACCATTAAAAAGTGGAACAGAAGTGTTGTTGTAAAGTTTCTGGGTATTCGGAGAGCTTTTAGCGAATCGTAGGCGAAAATTTTGTGTGAGCCACTTGGTTTAAGCTTCGGTGGTGGGCCCCTCGCGCTGAAGGCGATCGGGCGGCGGCCGGTGGTTTCCAGGCCGGGCCGCTACTCCCAGCGGCTCGCCCACGACTGGTTCTGCCGAAATTCGCACAGATTATTGGGAATTTGTTGGTCGCGATGTGCGACGCGCCGCCGGAGTCCTCAGCGGCGAGGCGCGGTAGTGCGACGGGCAGTGCGGGGGTAAACAAGCAGTGTTGCCAACCATACCGAACGCGCGGCACTCGCGGGGCGTGGCTGGGGCTGCCCCAGGCTGGTGCGAGGTGCGGTGCGGTGCAGTTGGCGACACTGCGCCGCGCTTGGCGGGAGTGGTGGGCTGGTGCGTGGCGCATGGCGCTGCCGTGTGGATGCTGGCCGATGCTGGGCGATGCCGGGCCGCCACCGCCGCCACGGCCAGGACCGCCACGGCCAGGACATACCTAACGGTCCAGCGACCTCGCCGCGCCCAGGCCGGCCGCGCCACGACACCTTTAACTCTGGCCCCGCCGCCAAGCTCATCCCACGGCCCCGCCCCGCCCCGCCCCGCCCCGCCCCCCCGCCCGCCCCGCCCCGCCCCGCCGGCAGCGTGTCGGTGGCGCTGCACCGTCCGCGTTACACCCGCAATGCTGACCTGGTTGTCGACTTTACTTTTCCAGAAGGGCATCGGCGGCGGCTCTCCTCCCATTCGCAGGGCCCGCGACAACAGCGCGGAGGACGTCAGCACTGAGGTAACATTTGGGCGCCAGTGGTCCTGGGCAAGTGGGTGGAAATGGGCCTCGACTAACCGAGCCCGTTTTGCAGAACTCGATGCTCCGCGACGGCGCGCGCCCCTCCGCGGCGGACCGCCGCCTGCGCAACACGTTCGGCTGGGCGCGCATCGACGTGCTGGTGTCCCTCATCGGCTCCGTGTTCCTGGCCTCGCTCTGCTTCTCGCTGGTGGTGGAGGCCGTGCAGACCCTGCTGCACATCGACCACCACGATGAGATGCACGAGCCGCTCTACGTGGCCGGGGCGGGCGTCGCCTCCCTCGCCGTCAACGCGCTCTGCTACATCCTCCTGGGCGGTAAGCCTGGCCACTCAGTTGGCGCCAGAAGTTCAAGTTGCCGCTGGCCGCACTAGTCTGACCTGCCCTGAATTTTTGACACACCGAGCCGCCTGCGAAGTCGAGGCTGGGCCGCACCGCAGCACGCCGGTGTCCGGCGGGCTGGCCTACCCGTCGTCCGTCAGGCGCCTGCCGCCTGCGGAGGCCAGGGTGGGCCGCTCCGCAAGACAGCCGCGCTCGGCGGGCCGGCCCAGCCCGCAGTTCGCAGGCGCCCGACTTCCAGTGTGGTTGACGTGCACGTTGTGTTGCCTCCGCACTCCGCAGGCTACACGTTCCACCAGGGCAGCTTCTTCCACGTGACGGAGACGGGCGACGTGATGCTGGAGCCCGCCGTGACCCAGGACTCCGTCAAGCTGGGCGAGCGGCGGCTGTCCTCCCAGCGGCGGCTGCCCGCCCGCTCCGGCCGCCAGCCCCGCCAGCGCCAGGGCTGCAGGGAGATGCTGCGCGACACTGTCGGTGAGTGGGCGGGTCACCGCCGGAAGCGGAAACGGAGGGCAGTCCTTGTCGACCGTCTAAAGCAATGTCTTCCTCTCCAGGCTGCGTGATGGTCATCATCGCGTCGCTGACCGTGTTCTTCACGGACAAGAGCGTCGCCAAGTACGCCGACCCCCTCATGTCCATCGTGTCCGCGATCCTGCTGCTTTGGCTCAGCTACCCTTACAGTGAGTCTCCAAACGCTTTCTTTCCCTCAGTTTTGTAAATTGGAGTTTGTTTTGACGCTGCCTTTTCCTCCGCGTGCAGTGAAGGAAGCGGGTCTCATCCTGCTGCAGACCATCCCGGAGCACATCAACATCGACGAGCTGCGCAGCGACTTCCAGCAGGCCTTCCCGGGCACGGCCAGCATCCACGACCTGCACGTGTGGCGGCTCAACCAGAGCAAGGTGTTCTGCACGGCGCACGTGCGCTTCCGCCACCCGCGCGACTACCTGCGCGTCAACCAGGACGTGTCCAGCTTCTTCCTCAAGTACGGCGTGACGCAGGTCACGGTGCAGCCCGAGTTCCTGAGCGAGGTGCAGGGCGCCGACAGCCAGGCCTGCCTCATGCGCTGCCCCGGCGAGTCGTGCCTGCGCGCACACTGCTGCGCCCCCAGCGCGCACGACGCGCACCACAAGCACTACGTCCGCGTCGCGTCCGACCTGTCCCTGCCCGAGCAGGTGCCCGCCGCCGTGCCCGCCGCGCCACCCGCCGCCGTGGTGCCCGCGCGCGCCGCGGACAAGGTGCAGGTGGTGGTGGAGGTGAACGCCGCCCCGGTGCAGGAGACGTCCTTCTCGGCGGAGGCGGAGGCCACGGCGGCCACGGCCCCGTCGACGCCAACCCCCGCACAACGCGAGGAGGCGAGTGAGCAGGAAGACAAGTCCAAGCAAGACTGAACCCAGTGCTGAGGCTCCGTTGGGGCCAGAGAGCAGAGCAGCGCGTTGGACTGTAAGAAATGGCAAGATCAGGTGCCTGCCCGAGAATAAACTGTCACGTGCCTGATTTAGACGCAAAGCCAATGTACGTATGGTTGTTACTAAGTCAAGAGTTTTAAATTGTCCTTACGGAAAGTATTTTATTCCATTGATGATTAATTGTCATAGGTGGTTGAATTAGTTAGTGTGTAGGCATGAATGTATGTATATATGTATGTATGTATGTATGTATGAGTGAGGGCCTGTGTTTATATTATGTTTGTATGTGCGATGAATGTGTGGATTCATTGATGTATGCGTGTCGTGTCGTGAGGGCTCAGGTGTAGAACGATTTTCATGAAATGGAATTATATCAGCGATTTGCCCCAGTTGACGGGGGGGTTAGTGAAACACAGTGTGATCACGGCAAAGCAGAAAACTACGCGTTAGATTAATTGCGGGGTTTCGCGGGGTTCCATTATTTCAGCTAAAATAACTACTTTGTACGAGTCAAAACCACTGTGATTTTATTAAGATACCTAGATTCTTGCGGGTGCTCTCTGCTGCGGGCAAACCACCCCTTGACATAGGTGAGGTGAAATGTCACAGTTCCATGACAAAATGTTACCCTGTCCAATTCTATGCTGACAAACTTAATTTTTATAAGGTTAAGACTGATAGTATAAGCCAAAATATGATGAATCACACCTCGGCACGTGACCGTTGCTCAATTTGTATTGTTTTTTTTTTGTTTAAATTGACCGCGTTTAGGAAGGAAACGTGATGTTACTTTATCCATAGTCATAAACTAGTAGTGAAAACTAGTCAGTTTTTCTTGAATGTATTGTAATAGTTTTAGTACCTCTGACAGGTCTTCCGCTCAGAATATTTTTTAGTGAACGCAGGATGTTTTTGGAAACTATGAGTAGCATGCTGTGAAAGCGTCGACAGTGTTACCGCTCCCTGCAGATACAGCAGAGCATCTTTTGTATTATTGCAGTTTCTTTAAACAGACATTAAATGCTCATCTATATTGGTATTGGTTCTTGCTTTCTGACCCCCTCCCCTTCCCCCCGCTCACACATACACACACCCTCAAAGTCAACACATAGCATCCTTAAGACGTGCGTTAAAAGAGAGTGACTCGCGTCGATACTCCGCGCGTGAGAGACAGGGGCAGGGCGTCGACCGCGCTAACGCCTGGAGTAGCGACGTGCACCGACGCGCGCTGCTCGGCACTACCCCGTGCCCCAGGCTCCCCGCCGCCGCTGCCGACTGCGTCCACGTGCGCGGTGCGCGGTGCGCGGCCGGCAGCAGAGTCCGGTATGATTCACCTCACTTTCCATGCGAGGGCCACGGCGGCCACGGCAACCCATTTCTTTCTTCCCGTTGTGGATCATCGCCGCCGTCAAGACCGCCATGGCCTTGACCTCCATGTCCGGCGCGCCCCTCCCGCCGTCCAGACGCGTCCCCACTCTAGCCTCTCTCCGGGCGACAAACAGTCTCGTCACTTTCATTTGCGCCCGTCTGGGCCGTCTGGGAGCCACAAAGCGTTTTCCTCCGGCGGGCCAATGAGAACGCCGCTCATTGTCAAAGGCAGACTGCGAGTCAGACGCGCCGTGCCGTGCCGTGCCGCGCCGTGCCGCGCCGTGCCGCGCCGTGTCGTGCCGCGCCGTGCCATGCCGTGCCGCATTCCTTCCGGGCGTGCGTGCGCGCGTCCGCTCAGATTGCTCGTTGCACAAAGCCAGTCAATCGCCCCAAACGGTCTCAGTTGGACACATGCTTTGCTGAAAAGTAATCTGGGTATTGACAGAGATCTATTTGCAACGAAAAAGAAGAAGAAATTGCCAGGGACCCTCGGCTGATTACGAAAACATTTAAGACGCGACGGACCTTTGAAACGCACTTTCCCGCAAGAACCTTTGCGATTTTCCAAATTTAACAGTGCGGGCGAGGAGCAGGGGAATGCGGCATGCGCCCGTTTGGCTGGCAACTGGCATCACAAGACGACCGGAGAAAATGAAACTTGTCGTCGTGGGGTTGTTTTCGGGCAGTGACCCCGAGGGCGGGCGGGGAGGGGCCGGTGAAAAGACGGTGTCTCGTGTCGCCACTGAGAAGCGGGCCAAGGATGTGTCCACCGCCGCCCTGCACTTATTTGGGTCCTGAGAATAGGCATGCGAGGCGACTCCCAGGTGGAGTTGCACTAATTAGGCGCCGTGTCTCACCGAGACCGCGATGGACGCAAGCCGCTTTCCGGGCTTTCGCTGCTTTTCGGCTGTCGGGAAGCGATACAACTCACTTTTCGCTTCCGTGAGCCTTTACTTTTGTATTCATCGATTTTGACCGGAGCTCGGGATTCTTGCTGCAAAGCTAATGGCGAGCAGGCTGGAGACGAGCCTGCTTCGGGGACATCTTTCGAACACCTGTAGTTGGGGCCCGCAGAGCCGAGTGAGCCAGAAAACGAAAGTGTTCCGACCAGGTTTCCGGGATTGAAACCATGAAACAGCGCTCCACTTCTCCGTCCACTCCTCCTGTTTGGAAGGACTCCCACCATTCCCGCAAAAATGAGGAAAAGGAGAAGAAAAAAAAAGTTGTCGTCGCGTCTATGTACGGTACGTTCGCCGCACTCTGAGGAAAGCAGCGCTAAAGAGATTCTCTCCTCTTTCGTTCGCAGGCCCGGACTGGCCCGGGCCGCGGGGGCGCGATCGCGCCCGGGGCCTCGCGCGAAGCGCGGGGCCTTTCGCACTGAGAATGAAAGAGTCATGATCCTGACTAAAATTTTGGGTGAGGAATTCTTTATTACCCAAATTTGGGTGAGGAAATTTTCCTCGCCCAAATTTGGGTGAGGAAGGTTTCCTCACCCAAATTTGGGTCATAATACTATGGTGCTATATAGGGAGCTGATACACCCTTCCTCACCCAAAATTGGGCGAGGAAACTTTTCTCGCCCAAATTGGGCGAGGAAACATTCCTCGCCCAAATTTGGGTGAGAAAGTAAACCTCGCCCAAAATTGGGTATTGATCATGACTTTTTCATTCTCAGTGCGGCCGCGGGCCACGGGGCCTTTCCACCGCGGGGCCTTCTTGGCCGCGGCAAAGTCGCGGTCTTTAGCAATTTAGTACTTAAATGAAAGGGGTACCCATTTGAAAATTTCTCAAGATTTCGCAGAATTTTGCGTCAAAATTTTTCGCAGAATTTTGCGTCAAAATTATGCCGGGTTCCGCGAGATTTTGTTGGTATTCCACGAAATTTCTGCCGATTTTACGCATGATTTCGGCAAATCAAGCGCATTTTTTGGCCAACTTTGGTCCCAAAATCGTTGCGGTCAAAGGCAAAATCGTTGTGGTCAACGTCTTCCCGAGACAGGGCATGAAAGAGTGGGGTCTTAAGAACACTAGAACGTCGAGGGAGGCCTTTTACGTCAACTAGATTGGACACAGTGGCCGCCCGAAGTCAGCAAAATCAGCAAATTTCCGAGACTCGACCACTTTTTGACCAACTTTGGTCCCAAAATCGTTGCGGTCAAAGGCAAAATTGTTGTGGTCAACGTCTTCACGATACAGGGCATGAAAGAGTGGGGTCTTAAGAATACTGGAACGTCGAGGGAGGCCTTTTACGTCAACTAGATTGGACACAGTAGCCGCCCAAAGTCAGTAAAATCAGCAAATTTCCGAGATTCGACCATTTTTGACCAACTTTGGTCCCAAAATCGTTGCGGTCAAAGGCAAAATCGTTGTGGTCAACGTCTTCACGATACAGGGCATGAAAGAGTGGGGTCTTAAGAATACTGGAACGTCGAGGGAGGCCTTTTACGTCAACTAGATTGGACACAGTAGCCGCCCAAAGTCAGCAAAATCAGCAAATTTCCGAGATTCGACCATTTTTGACCAACTTTGGTCCCAAAATCGTTGCGGTCAAAGGCAAAATCGTTGTGGTCAACGTCTTCCCGATACAGGGCATGAAAGAGTAGGGTCATAAGAATACTAGGGCGTCGAGGGAGGCCTTTTACGTCAACTAGATTGGACACAGTGGCCGCCCAAAGTCACCAAACACGGCTTACCCTCCCCTGGCTAGTAAATTTAAAACAATGGACGCATATCGGAAAAGGGGGCCCTTGACGTCACACTGCGACCGGGGCCCTGACTTAGCCAGTCCGGCCCTGTTCGTTCGTGTCTCCACTATTAAAAGCGCGCGGGGATTTTAATTGGACAGCGAGTTTGCGCCCACTCTGTTTTCGAGTGTTCAGGGACGGCCTATGGAACGAAACGGAGACAAATTAGAGTTCAGTGAAGCACCCCTGCAAAAAAGACAAAATAAACTTACTCGTGTACTGTCAAAGTGGTAGACGAAGTCTCGGGTTCGAATCCGGCCCTCACTCGTGATTTTTGACGCCCTTAGTTTTGTCGTCCGAAAGGCCTTTCTCAAATATAAGCCATTTTTAAGCGTACTACATTCTTCTTCGTCTTATTTCGCCCAGGCCAAGTCGTCTATTGCTGTTCAGTTGACGTCCATGGCCTTTCTGTCCAGCGGCCTCTATGTCCATAGGGAGTGCTGAGAAGGTTGTCAAACATTGTCATTGGTTCAGCCAACTTTGCCCAGAGCTATTGGATTTGAAACCAAAATTTTATCATTTGCGCGAAGTAAGCGGAATATATTTCTACATGCTCTTTTGGTTTCTTTGATGTTCCATCTTCAGATTTACGCGAACTAAATCACAAATTATATTAATATGTAGCTGTATCAACACGGTAAAAACGGTACCTGGTTTTCCCAGGAGCCCTATGGCGAAGACATAGGCGATTTCCAGGGGGTTCCTGGGAAAACAAGGAACCGTTTTTACCGTGAAATGATCAAACTAAGTGAAATTCACCTGCGTTTAAGATAAGATTCTCTTGGGGGAACGCCCAGATAAGGTCTTTTGAATAGGACCCCTCGAAATGCGTAGTGGAAGGGCAATGTTTGTGACGATTCCTGACAGGACATGCAACATCTTCTTTCTTTCTCATTTATCGTGGGACTTTTCGAATCGTCGCGGACTGGTAGGCGAAGCTGCCAGCGGACCGCGCGCGTCCTTGGCCCGTCGAAGGCTTGCAGGGCCACTACGTTCTTCGCAGGGCGCCGCCAATGGCCGCCAATGGCCCGTCAAACACCGCTGGGCTCGGCTGGGCGGCCACCGCGCCGTTCAACCCCGTCACTGTAAGTATCCTTTGTGGCCGCCATGACCTTTTTCGGGGGACACTAAAACTGTGTCGACAGCGCAGAGTGCTGCGCGTGGACCCGCCGGGGGAACTAATTGCTTGCCGCATGTGATTTTGTCGAAATAGTTTCCCCGTGTCGCGGCAGCCCGCCGTGCTCCCTGCCCTGCCTGCCTGCCGCCGCGGGCCACCGGTCGGGATGCTGTGAGCCTGCCGGGCCTGCCGGGTGAGAACTGTCGCGTTGCACACACTGCACAGCACGTTGCGGGCGGGCACCGCCGGGCACGGCTTGCAGGCAAGGCACGGGAAACAAACGTGACAAAGACGGTCCGCGGTGGCGGTCTCAGGGAAGGCGGAACGCACTGGCCTGTCATACATAGGGCTGGATAAGGTTCACCGCAGTGGCTCGGCACCCTCCCTGGTCGGACGGTCCGTCCGAGACTCCACCGACCGCACACAGCGCTGGTCCACTGCACGTGGCCACGCTAGATTGACATGTCGGGAGCGGCGCGCATGAAATTTGTTTTGCAAATGGACGGCCGAGTAGTTGACTCCATTACTGTGCCGGGATTTAGAGGTGCTTCTGGTGGAGGTGCCACGCCACCACAAGCAGTGTCCTCCCTGACCGCCCCTTTGACACCTCCGCGTCGGCGGGTCGGCGGCATCACGGGGGGTGGCGCGGCCTGGACAGCCCGTCGGCCCGCCCGTCCCTCGGCCCACGTGGCCCATGCCATGCCATGGATGTCCTGCTGCGCCGGCCGGCTCGGCCCTGTCGGCCCGCAAGCTTCCTCCCCCCTCCCGGTACCCGGCGGCCTGCCGCCGGCCTGCCGGTGCCTCCCGGTAGGGCCCAACATACTACGGGGCAGGTCGCGGCGTGGCGGCTCGGCGTGGCGGCTCGGCGTGGCGGCTCGGCGTGGCCGGGAGCGCGCGCCGCGCGCCCAGTGCCGACCCGTCTCCGTCAACGTGCGGACGCCCCCAGCGCCCCCAGCGCACGACGCCGCGGATGCCGCGAACGCTGCCGACGACCGCGATCGCGCCTCGCTGCACCGCGCCGCCAAAAAGCAGCCCTGCGAGCTAACTGCGCCTGCCGAGGACTCTGCACCACCTCGGCGACGACGGCCCCTCGGAGTCCGGGCGGAGCGGCACCGCCAGGGCACCGCCAGGGCACCGCCAGGGCACCGCCCAGCCAGCGCGCGTCTTGTGCACGCGCGGGCTTGAAGGAAACTTGGTGCGGCCGGGCCGCGGTGAACTTGAACTTGACTCTGGCTGCTGCGCGCCGCCGCGGCCCCTGAGGCCCCTGCAGCCGGCATTCCTGCAGTCCGGTCGGTCGCCGCCCCGCCCCGCCCCGCCTCGCCTCACCTGGCTTCGCCCCGCCCCGCCGGGTCCTCCGGGTGACTCACCACTCATGTCTCAGCGTAAGCACTTTCTGCCTATTTTTCGGCTGTCTTCCGGAGTGTGTCAAATGGCCGTGAAATGAGTCGAGTGGCATGGCAAACGGACTGGCGCGCCACGGCGGAGCGCGCTATTTGCAGTGCTCAGTGCAGTATTCGCAGGGCAGGCAGTCTGCCGATTCTTGCCGAAACAGTGCGCACGAGTCGGTAGTGGCAGCAGTTCAGTGCGATCCCTGCCCAGGGCACACCCCAGCCCCGTCAAAATAATCTGTGGAGGTGTTGACCTCAATAGCGTGAAGTGCAAGCTACATTGTTGTTGCGTCAGTGTGTGTTAGGCCATGGCTGCATTGCCTACCACGATCGAAGAGGAACTCACCAGCGTGCCTATTCACGACATTCCTTTGTAGCTGCCTGATATCCAAAACACCAGTGAGTGAGACGTTGATGACGATGATTACCATGGTAAACAATCTGATAACGTGCCTGGGTTTGGTCTGTGCTGCTCGTTCTTCTCGTAATATTTGATCCAAAACCAAAGTAACATGCGCGTCCTCGCATGTGCTAAGTGAAAGTCACACTTGCATGCATTGTAGTGCGCTCCTCGTCAGTCTGAGGCACTGAGGTGAGCGAACGCAAGCAGCCTCCACCCTGACACTGGGCTCGCCCAGGCTCGCCTGGGCTGACCCTGACCTCGAGGAGCCCGGCCTGGCTGGCTGGCCGACTGGCTGGCCGACTGGCTGGCTGGCCGGCTGGCCCACCGCAGCCTCCCAAACGCCGCGATGCCCGGCGATGCCCTGGCGTCATTGGTCTGGACGCACAGTGCCGCACTTTCACCGCTCATTGAACCCCGTGTTTACGCGTGCAGTACCGCCGAGTGCGTACCGGGTGGAGTACCGCCATGGTACCGCCATGGTACCGCCATGGTACCGCCATGGTACCGCCATGGTACCGCCATGGTACCGCCATGGTACCGCCATGGTACCGCCATGGTACCGCCATGGTACCGCCATGGTACCGCCATGGTACCGCCATGGTACCGCCATGGTACCGCCATGGTACCGCCATGGTACCGCCACGGTACCGCCATGGTACCGCCATGGTACCGCCATGGTACCGCCATGGTACCGCCATGGTACCGCCATGGTACCGCCATGGTACCGCTATGGTACCGCCATGGTACCGCCATGGTACCGCCGAGCGCGGCGCCGCCTCGCTTTCTCACGAGGAGCCTCATTCGGATGCGAGGCTTGGACGCCGAGGCCTCGACGCCGAGGCCCCGATCTCGTCATGGCGGCCCGGCGGCCCGGCGGACACTCCGGACGACGAGGAAGCCGCCTTGGCCTCGCGGAATGCCGCACGCCAAGCCAAGCCAAGCCAAGCCAAGCCGAGGCGGCCGCGCCGAAACGCCAAAAAAGAAACCTTGTTTCGCCGTTGTGTTTGTCCGGCCCGGAAACAAACACGCCGGGCCGCGGCAAACACGCGCCCCGGACTGATTTGGAACGGCGTTCTGTCGCTCTGTCTCACTCGCACTCCGATGACACGCCTCTCAAGTGCGAGCGAGACGGAGCGACGACAGCAGGCGTCCCTTCTGCCTCTGCCTTCGGCTCTGACGAATCGCGGCGCCAGAACCGCAGGTTGGACTGGGTCCTGGGTGACGTTTGAAGCTCCGTAGGCAATGGAACTCAGATGGATTCCCCGTTCGAAGCGCGGTCCGTGGGACCATGACACGGCCGGCGCAGCCCCATTCAAGTCATGCCGCCCCCCGCGGGCCGCTGACTGTGCATCCCTGCTGCCTGCCGGCCGCTGCTGGGTCGCGCCGCGGGGCAAAGCGGCGAGGCGGCGGCGGGCAGAGCGAGGGGCAGAGGTTGAGGCTGCCGGTCTGGCGCTCTAGCACTGTGTCGCCCAGTCATCGATCAGGGAGTGAGTGAGGGATCGAGAGAATGAGCGGCAAGGACGCGGCCCAGAAACCGGAAAGGCGTCGGGGCGCCGCAGAGCGCCGCAGAGCGCTGCAGAGGCGTGCAAAGGTGACGGACTGGCCATTTCTTCAGGGCCTCGCCGCGCTAATGACGGACATGGCAGTGGCAGCCTGCATCATCGGCCTTTGCGCGCACTTTGTTGGCCGTCTGAGTCGGCCGGAGAGACACCTGGCGGACTGCGCTGCGCCGCCCCGGGCGTCCGCGACTGCCACCGCCAGCTGGTGCACTGCTGCACATCCGCAGCGTCACGGCAGCAGCACGTCATGAACGCCAAGTTTTAGGTCAGACAGGACGCGGAGCAATGGCACTGCAGAACCCGAAGGTACCCGAAGTCGCCCGAAGGCTGTCGTCTGTTCGGGATGTGTACGCGAGCAGTTGCAGCCAGTGCAGCGGTTGCGGGGCGCGCGAGAACCCGTTCCGAATAACGTTAATAGCACACACTGGTTTCGGCACGATGCCGGCGTCGCGTGGCGGCGCGGCGGGGACGCGTGGAGAGGGCGCCGGGAGCCCCCACTCCTTTGTCTGCTTTGTTTGGGTCGCGCGACGCGCTGGTGTGCCGGCTGGCGTACTGGCACGGAATCCGCCTCGGCCGGCCTGGCGCTTCGCGCTTCGCCCCGCCGGCATGGCTCGCCGGCAACGCCCTGCTCTCCGGCCAGCTGACCGGACGCCAGACGACACAATACCGTTCAATCGGGCTGGTGACGTCACGGATCCGTTCCCCGGCAGGCCGGCCCGCCGCGCCAGCCCGACAGGCCAGCCCGACAGGCCTGCTGGCGGGCCAGAGAACGAGGCGGAACTAACTCCTCCCTTACTGGAGTCACACCGGCCGGCCGCTCTGTCCGCTTTGCACCGCTTTGCCTACAGCCCAGATGACTGCCTGCTCTGCCTTCCGCAGGCTCCCCCTCCCCTCTTCCAGCGACCTGCATCTCAGTGACACTTCTGTGGGAAAGACGCCGTGCGGAAGGTTACACGTGTACTGCACACTGAATTCGTTTGGACTTCCTTGCTTGCGTTAGTTAGGAAAGATTCTGATCTACTAGTGTGGAATTTTACTCATAACAATGTGCTTTTATGCGTAAAATTAAATGCACCGTTTGCAATTGGCTCTGTACAGAAGCACCAAATGAAAGTGTCTGCGATCCATCATTGCATTCTTTTGGTTGGTGCAAAGTCAGCCGTGGTTGGCTTTTCGTTTTTTCACGGCTGTCGCGCTCTTTCTCCAAAAAATCAGTGAAACGCCAATCCGTCTACGAAAATGAATAAATACAGCAGGGCCACCATTGTTTTGAAAAGTCTTGATAATCGTGTCCGGAGAACGTGCTAACTGACCAAGATCTGCAAATTTCGAACCGATCTTCCCACGTAGTGTGACACGAAAGTGGGGTCCAAATTTGACACCTATGTGCAAAATACAAATCTTCTGGAAATTCCAGAAGAATTTTCAACAATGCAGCTTTAAACTTTTTGTCAGTGCTTCACTTTTTAACATGAGCTAAAGTCAGCTCTCGAGCGAGATTTTCTGTCCTGACAGCCGTGATGCTGATCTCGAGCGTGGACATTTTGACAACGAGCGGATATCTAGAATCATGAAAGAAAACTACGGGAATCACTTTCGCACTGCGTAAGGTGGGAAGCGGCAGCGCTGACGGCGGCGCGCCGAGACCGAACTCGAACCAATATCCAAGTGTGAACTGTCTAGATTTCTCCAGCTTTATTCGTCTGGATCCCTGGAAATTCCCCCTCCGCCCTTCTGGAGCTCATCTCGTCTCGAATTCCTGTCCCGCGGCACGGCAAGACACAGCAGGGCACGGCGCTGCACGGCGCGGCACGGCCGGCCAAGATATATAGGTCATCGACACCCGGACGGGACCTACGGCACTCCGGGCCGCGGCGCGCCTCTCCGCGCCTCTCCGCGCCACGCCACGCCACGCCACGCCCGGTCCGAGTTCGGTCGTCTCCTAAATTAGCTTTTATTGCCGCCCGGCCCCGCCCCTGATTGGCTGCCGTGCGCCGTAATGCACCACGGCACTGCTCGGCACGGCGCCCGTTCTCGGAAGGCGACGCCCCCGACGCGTCGCGACGCCGGACACGCTGGGCCGCACGTACTTCGACATTTGGCCCTGATTCTCGCCGGCTGCTCAAACGTCGCACGGTAGTGGGCCAGGAGACCAGTTTGGGTGGAAACAAACTCGTGTCACGTTTTGGGCGCTATCGTCCTCAAATGGGACCCGAATCCAACTGGATCGATCGCAGACCGAAGTGTGAGCAGACTCGCTCTGTCCGCCTGAGCTGGCCTTCTGGCTTACAGTGCGTCCCCAATGCTTTGCCAAGGATTGAGCCAGCGGCGTGGTGCATGCCGTTCGGAGGGTGTTCTCGTGTCGGGCCGTCCGGGTCCAAGGCCAAGCAGGCCAAGCAGGCCAAGCAGGCCAAGCAGGCCAAGCAGGCCAAGCAGGCCAAGCAGGCCAAGCAGGCCAAGCAGGCCAAGCAGGCCAAGCAGGCCAAGCAGGCCAAGCAGGCCCAGGACGAAATCAAAAGTGGAGGGCAGAGGCAGACGTGACTCGTGGCCTCTGCGGCGAACCGCAGACCGCAGCCCGAAACGGCGCCCCGCTGCTACCGGCACAGCCTGGCAGCCCGGCAGGTCGCCGCCGTCGCCGCGGTGCTCCATTTTGAGGCATCGCCGCCATTGAGTGGACCGAACCATCCCCGAGGATCGCTCAATCCGGGAATGCAGCTTCGGCATCCGGTAGGGGCTGACTTCGACCGTTTTAGAGTGGTGAAAGAAATGAGTCTGTATGAACGCCACGCTGAGTGTTTGTCCGAAAAGCCAAGCTGATCGCACTCTCTCTAGCGCGCTCGTCGAGGACCGCCGGCGTGACTTGTTGTGTTTCGTGGACAGGATGATGGAGAGCGAGGTGTCCTGGGTGCCGATGCTGCTGCCGGCGCTGCTGCTGCTGCTATGCCAGCTGTCGAGCGCCACCGCCCCCTTCACCATCGTGGCCCCCGCCGCGGCCACCACCGCCCTCGGACCCAGCCCCACGCCGGCCTCCAGCAGCAACGCGACGGCGGCGACGACGATGACGACGACGACGTCGACAACGCCTCCACCGCCGACGCCGCCGCCGCCACACGCCACCACGCCGCCCGACGTCCTGGAGGACGCGTCGCTGTCCGTGGTAGGTCCTGCACGGCCGGCACGGCCAGGGAAATTCGGGCCGCACTGTCTGGACGCCCCCCCCCCCTCCTTTCCCCCTTTGCGTGCGTGTCGGCGTGCTGCCAGAATTTATCACCCTTAGAGGAGCCACCTGCTGGGCTGCTGGGCTGGCAAACGGGTCGGACCGACAGCACGCAAGGAAGAAGGGCACTTCCCTTTAGCAGGCCAAGGTGCCATCAAGGTGTCACGGGGTGACCCCGCCCGGCCGGCCCGGCCCTGCCCGTCGTGGGGCTTGATGGCCGCGAGGTGCCCTTTGCTTTTCTCTCTCGGGGACGGGCCGCAACAACCCCGTCCTGGAGGCCACGCGCTGTGCGGATGTCTCAGGGACGGCTCATTGTGTGTGATTTCTACTCATTTGTCATCGTTTTGACCAAATTTTCGGCAATACTGCTAGCAAACTGAGGCGGGAAATCGCACACAAAGGCAAACTAAAAGAAGGTCCAAAGACAACCCACCCACCCGTTGAGGGAGAACGATTCCCCGCCTGGTATTGGACGCAGTGACTGCCTGAACTCGGCCTCGTCCTTTATATTGTCTTGTGCTTGCAGCCGAAGCTCCTGAAGAAGTACGGCTACCCGGTGGAGAACCACGTGGTCATGACGGAGGACGGCTACGTGCTCACGCTGCACCGCATCCCCCACGGCCGCCGCGGCAAGCACTCCGTAAGGACGCCGACCAGATCGGTGGGAAAGGAGCTGCGCTGGCGATACCCCGTGCCGCTACGTGCTCCTTGGAGGCGCGGGGTATCGGCGGCGCTCTCGCCCGCTGGCGATGAGCGGCGCACTCTCTTTGAGCTAATTTCCTCGCTGCTGGCAGGACAGTGATGACATCAACAGCAACCGGGTCCGTTCGCTGAGGAAGGCGCTGCGGTCCACGAGGAGGGCCTCGAGCAGCACCGGCATCAAGCGAGGTAGGGAGTGGGGCTAGTGCCTTTTTAGGACTCTAGTGCCTTTGCGGAGTATATCGTTTGTGCGACCTCTTTTTGTCCGACCTACCGAAGTTAGTCCAACCTCCTGCCCTCTTAAAGTTTTGTACGCCCTCCGCTCGGGCCCTTGTCTTTGTGTCGCGGTGTTTCTGGACTTGCCTCTGCGCAGGGGCGGCCGGGCAGCGGAATGGGCGCGCCGTGTTGCTGCTGCCGGGGCTGTTCTGCTCGTCGGCTGTCTGGCTCATCATGGGGCCCAAGAAGGGGCTGGGTGAGTACGCCGCCTTGGGGTTTGAGGGTGGCAACCAGGCCGACCGCATGTGTCTCGCTCACCGTGTGCCTCTCCCTCCGCAGGGTACATCCTGGCCGACGCTGGCTACGACGTGTGGATAGGCAACCCGCGCGGCAACAGGTACTCCATGGGCCACGTCGAGATCCCCTCGACCGACGACAAGTACTGGCAGTTCAGGTAATCCACTAAAAGTCCACCTCCCGCACCACCTCTCCTTCCCCGCGTAACGCTGTCCACTTGCAGCTGGCACGAGATGGGCGAGTTCGATGTGCCCGCCATCCTGGACTACGTGACGACGGCCACGGAGCAGGAGCGCGTCCCCGTGGTGGGCCACTCGATGGGGAACACCATGATGATGGTGATGGGGGCGCTGCGGCCCGAGTACAACCGCCTGGTGTCCGTGCACATCGCCCTGGCGCCGACCGTCTTCCTGCAGCACGCGCACAGCCCCATCCTCAAGGGCTTCGCCGCGCTCGCGCCCACCGTCAGCGTGAGTGTCCGGGGAGTGTCCGTGGAGGCTTGGCATGGCGTCGACCGCACCGGCATGTTACTCCGGCCAAACAATGCTCTTGCCTCACTGTTGCAGACCCTGACGGCCATGCTGGGGGTGCACGGGCTGCGGCCCACGCTGCCCCTCAACGAGTCCCTGAAGCAGCTGTGCCGCGAGGAGGCCGTGCTCACGCAGCGCCTCTGCAAGCACGCCGCCTTCATGCTGCTCGGCTTCGACCCGGAGCAGCTCAACGTGGTCAGTCGGACATACCCCTTGCCCGGAGTGCTCCTCGCATGCGGAGTATCGCCACCTGTTGCTAGCAGCCAGCGCTACTCCCTGTCGGCTGCTGCGTCCCGATTCTAAAACTGGGACGCGAGATTCTGGATTCTGTGGAACCTAGTTATCAGCTTATACGTTCTAGTAGTCAACTTCCCGCTTGTTATTTATTTTGCTTTCTTTATTTTTTCGGACAAAGACATCAAATAAACAGACTTTTCCACCTTCTTTTTTTTTGCAGACGACGTTCCCGGCCATCCTGGGGCACTTTCCCTCGGGCGGGTCGACGCGCACCCTGCTGCACTACGTGCAGAGCTTCACGTCGGGCGACTTCCGGCAGTACGACCACGGCGCCAAGCGCAACATGGCCAGGTACGGCCAGCCCAGCCCGCCGGCCTACAACATCAGCATGGTGGACTTCCCGGTCGCCATCTCCGTCGGAGACAACGACTGGCTGGACTCAGTTGAAGTAAGGCCACATCCGCGAGCGAAACGAAAATGAATCATAGACGTGCTCGGTTATGACAAATTTTCTGCTCGAATCTTAATCCGGATATGTTTATTTTGGATTTCGCTAGAGGACCAAAGCGGTGTGGTGGTTTGACGAGCGGCCCGTGTTGCAGGACGTGCAGCGGATAGCGCGGATGCTGCCCAACGTGGTGGACTACTACCGGGTGCCCTGGCCCAAGTTCAACCACATGGACCACCTGTTCGCCATCGACATCCTGGAGCTCGAGTACAAACACGTGATGGAAGTCCTGGACAGATTCTCCTCGGCGTGAATGTTCAGAAGTTCCGAAACAGTAGCATTTTGTATATTCATAATTTTGTATGTGTGTGTGAGTATGTGAGTGAGTGCCAGAGTGTGCAAGTCAGTGTGAGTGAGTTAGATGGGGAGGATACCTACTGTACACAATGACCACCAACACAGCGGTCATTTTCTTGTCTAAGTTTCGTTCCCGGACGTTTCGATAAGCGCCTTTCACGCAGTTGTACATATTGTAATGTTTCTGAAATATTAAAAAAAACGCCAAAACAGTCATGGCAACATGAATCGAAGCAACCCTTGCACAGAAAAGCAAGGCCCTACTGTCTGAATCTCGAAAAGGGACGAAGCTGCTGCCCCACTGCCGCAGCGCAACCGGAAGCGTAAAGACACGGAGCACCCTAACCGAACCTGACCTAACCGACCACAACCCAACCCAAACTAACCTAATCTCACCAACGTACCCTAACCTAACCTAACTAACCTAACCTCACCAAACCTCACCTAACCTAACCTCACACAACCTAACCTACCGCCTCGCGGTGTGTCATGTGCCTGATCAGTGCTGACACGCACGACGCAGTGCGCAACGAGGCGCAGCCCGGCGCAGCCCCCACCACCGCGCCAGCTGCTTCGCACCAGCTTCGCGCCGGACAGGCCAACCTGTTCGTGCTTCTAGTGAGTACCAACCCCTCCCCGCGCGTGCATTATTTACCCGCGTTTTTCATTGGGGCGCCGTGCATTATACACGGCCTGGCCGCCCTGCTTGTCCCGCAGTGTGGCCAACACCACGGCCGCCACGAGGGCCGCGCCGAGCACGCAGCCACGCAGGCAGGGGTTGTTGGGTTTCAATGAGTTCCGTGCTTGCCGAGAGCGAGGAAACATAATACTACGAAGGTAGAGAGGAAAAAAGGAGAAGTCGCCAGATTTGTCGGACAAAAGCGATGTTTGTGGAAGCAGAAAATAGGCAGCACAGCCGAGTTCTATGCAATGCTGATTACTAAGTTGTGTAATGTTTGTTTGATAGGTTTTATTTGGCGCCCTTGTTCGTTCACGTAGATGGCATTCTGCTCCAGCAGTGGTGCGGTTGCGTTGTTGCGATCAAAGGAAACCAGAGGAACAGTTCGGAGGCTGCGGGGTGTTGTTTTGCTCGTTCGAGCACGGAAAACGAAAATCGGTGCGCGCCAGCGGAACAGTCGACGCACGCACTGGGTGGGCTGAGGCAATCACACGGTTCCAACGGCCTCGACCCTCCAGGGGGCCCACTATTTCACTGCTTCTGGGAGTACGAATCATCCACATATTAAAAACGCCTTTTTCATCATGGTTTCACCAACGGCAAATCGCGTCTGTTCACCCCTCCTTTATCTGACTTCGCTGGCGGGGCCAGGTGCTCGCCGAGGTGCGAAGGCAGGGCCTGGCAGGGCCTGGCAGGGCCTGGCAGGGCACGGGAAATGGGAAAGGCCACTCAAGGCCGCCTTCGAGGCTGCCGGCAGTGGGGTGGGGCGGGGCGGGGCGGGGCGTGGAGGGGCGGGGCGCCAGAGGCTGCGGAAGCTGCCGTCATAATACATAGGGATGAGCATTAGCGTGATGAGAACAACACGATGCAGCGGCAAGCAGCGGCAAGCAGTGCCACGCCGAGGCGCGACTCAGGTCACTTCACATCGCATTCTGCCGAGTTCTCGCCCCCCTCCCTCCCCCGCGCGACACCACCCTTGGCGCCGCTTTTCAGTCTCGAGAGGTGTATTACAGTGTAAGCACGCCACATTCAGGACAAAGCAGCATATCGCCCCCCCCAGTGAAATATAAGTAGTGACCCAGATGAAAACAGCAACTCATCAATTGAAGTGTTCGCGGCGTCTCACCCCCTTTTTGCTCTCTTTCACACACAGACGCACACACACACACACACACACACACACACACACTCACAAGACAGCTCCCCGAGCCACCACGGCGACTCTCCTCTCTACCAAATCAAACGGGAGTGACGACCCGGAAGTCCATGGCGATGTTTCCCGCCAAATTTCCGCCGTGGAGTGTCTCTCCCCTGGCAGCGCGAGGTAGGGCGAGCAGGGCGAGGTAGGGCGAGCAGGGCGAGGTAGGGCTGCGTGGCAGGCGGACAGGCTCGGTGCAGTTCCGACGCGCCACAAAGGACTGTGCGACCTTTGTCGCTTTGTCCCTGCGGACCGTTCAGTCTGGCTCAGCTCGCGCACCGCAACGCGCCGCAACGCGCCGCAACGCCGTGGCAGTGTGGCAGCGCACCCCGAACACCGCCATGCACCGCCACGCACCGCCACCGCGCGGCCCACACTCCCACACGCACCGCCCTGTTCGCCCGGCCTCGACCTGCGGCCGCAAGCCGCGGTGCGGCGCAGCGGGGCTCTGTTCAAATGACAGCCCACTCTTGCAGGCAGTGCAGCGAGGCTTTGATCACGCGGCGGACACGTGCTGCAAGCGGACGAGTGCCCTGCCACGGCCCGTGGCACTCGGGGCAAGGCCGCGGCCTAGAGTGGCTCTGCAAAGAGGCGCTGCACTGTAAAAAAGAAGACGAACAATTCTCGGACCCATGGGTCTGGCAGCACACTTTCCAAGCACGGGTCGACAAAAGTGAGACCCATTGGGTGGCACTTCTGCTTCCGCGCGCCGGGGAAGATTCAGACCCATGGGTTCCGAAAACGGTGCGTCCGCGCCGGGGAAGCAGCGGGGAGGGGTGGGGGAAGTAGCCTGCCGCGTGTGCCAGGTATACGCCGAGCCCGGGTCAGCGGATGGCCGGGCCGCGCCGTGCATAGACGGGCAAGGGTCTGTCAATAATTAGGACCAATGGTTAGGAAAATGCTGGCCCCCCGCGGGTCAGAAAAAAGTATTTGAAGGGCACGACAAAAGTATCGAAAATATTTTTCTATCCGCGCGTTCGATCCACTCCCCTAATTTTCACGGCTTGGCTGATGCTGCCTTCTTCCTCTCTCCCTTCCCGTCGCCTTTCACTTGCCCCTTCTCCGAGTGACTTGCTCCGGTCCCCCTGCATCAGCAGCGACCCGGATTTGAACCCGGGCCCCCCGATCACAGTGCCATCGCCTTACCACTCGACTACTTGAGCGCGTGTCTGGAGGCGGGACAAAAGATGCACATAGCTGCAGTCACCGCGCCGACTACCTGGCCCCGCCCGCCGCCGCCCCGCTCCTGCCCGCTCCGTCCCTCCTCCCCCCACTCCTACACGAAGGGAAGATTGTGACCCATGGGTCTGTAAAACTCCGAGATGGGCCACAGAGCAACCGCGCGGAGGGGGTCTGAGAATTATCTACCCACGCGCCACGCGAATTGTACGAGCCTAGGGCCGAGTTTTAGTTCACATGGGTTTGAAAAAGGTGCGTCATGGGCCGTAGAAAACAGCGACTTGAAGGGTTCGTCAATTCCGAGTCCACGGCACACAAAATGTTGCATCCAGTGGGTGCGAGAAAGATCCATCATGGATCCGTGGCCATTACGATCTGACCCATGGGTCGAAATTTGTTTGACCCCGGGTTTCAGAAGTGAAAAATGAGACCCTTCGGAACAAAAAACGTACCCCAAGGACCTGAGGATTCGCGATTTTTTTTTACAGTGTGTCTTTGTTCAGCAACCGTGCGTGGCTCGCCGCGGCCGAGGCGGAACGCACCGCGAGTGGGCCTTGAACACCTTCCTGCAGGTCCAGCAGGTTGTCGAAGTGGCCCCGACCGCCCCGGCCGAACCGCAGCAAAGCGAAGCATGAGTGCAGCGCAAAGTTGGAGCGCTCGTCTAATGAAGCTCGCTGGCACCGCGCCGACTCGTCACTGCACTGACAAACCTCCGCGTCGACGGAGTCGCCCCGCCGCCAACCCGCCGTTTACCCCGAGGCCGCCCCTCCCGCCCCGCTGCGCCTTCTTATTGTTCCTCGCGGCGCCCCTGCAGCAGTGCCCCCAGGAGGGCCGCCCCCCGCCGCCCTCTAAGTACCCTGCTACGGCCATTTGCCCTGCTCCGCCTTCTCAGACGTGCAGGTGCAGCAGCACCGTCCAAATGCAGCAAATCAGCCGGGCAGCCGGCCTGCCAGCCCCGCCAGCCCCGCCAGCCCCGCCAGCAGCCCCGCCAGCCCTCACCCCTCGCCGTCAGGGCCGCAGCGCCAGCAAGCGCCAGTCCCCAGCTGCCGCAAAGCTGTCGCTAGCCCCGCTCTGCCCCCCCCCCCCCGGAGAGGAGTACTGACCATCGGCGGGCTGTTCGGGGAGAAAGGGGGGTGGGTGGGGTCGACTCATCAGTGCCACTAGCATGTGACGCGGACCCGGGTGGCGTATGAACAGGGTGTGCGCACTACACTTGTGTCAGCCCGTGTCACGCGGCGGCTCTCTGCAGGGCCGCAGAGTGTACACTACACTCCCCGCCACACCGGTCGGCGACGCGTCGGAAGTGGGGCGACAATCTACCACTCACTGGACGGCCCCGCTGTCGTTTTTCTCGGGGTTTGTTTCGTTTTTTCGCGTACTGCACTTATTGGCATTCCTTTTAGGACATACCCCTTCACCCCCCCCCCTCTCCCCCTCCCACGAGTGTACTCCAATGTATAATGCGGATGTCAAGGCGCTCCTTTTTTCTGTTTAATTAAACTTGGAGCGGCGGTGAGGTTTGGAGCGTTTGGAGCAGCAGACGACACGGCCGGAGGAACTTGCGCAGTACTTCGTGCTTATTAAAATGGGCCGGGCTGGGCTGGGCCACGCCGGGCCCCGCGTGCATCTTCTTATCCATCTCTCAGCCGCGCCACGCCGCACCGCGCCACGCCGCGCCACACCACGCCACGCCACGCCGCGCCACACGCCAGGCCGGCCATTTTATTTTCTCATTACCCGGCCATTTAGCTCTTCGCTAATATTAGGCTTTTACAAGGGAAAAATAAACACGGACCCGGGCAGCGCCCCCGCCCCCGCACGGCACAGCCTGCGCGGCCTGCTGCGGCGTGGCGCCTTCGAGGTGGGCAGTCCCGCAGCACGCGCGTGCCTGGCGTGCCCGGCGTGGCCCACCTCGCAGGCGCTCGCCGTCGCCGGCAGCCATGCGTCTGCCACAGCCACGAGCGAATACATTCATAGCGGAGGTGTTTTTGTGCCCAGGAATGCGTGGCCGACCCCCCCCCCCCCCCCCCCCCCGCTAACTCACGCCTGCGAGCACCCCGGCCGTAAATCGCCGGTGGCAGGACAGTCATCGCAGTCATCGCCAGGCCGGCGGCAGGCCGGCGGCAGCCCGGCGAGAGACTAGGCCCAC